TCTCTCTCTGTCTCTCTCTCTCTCTCTCTCTCTCTCTCTCTCTCTCTCCCCTCCCACCCCATCCTCCTCGGTGTCTTTGTACAGTCTACCCTCTAAATGCCTGCATTTGGCCTAAGACCTATATTTTCTACATTCAACATTGCCTCAACAATCATTTGGTAGATTATCCAAGTCTTAGCAATCTCAGCTATTGGTGGGGTTTTGGATCACTCGCTGGTATTTGTTTGGTAATCCAGATAATTTCAGGCATTTGTTTAGCAAGGCATTATAGGCCTCATGTAGAGTTAGCTTTCTTACGCCTCCAGCTGTCTGCTCTCTCTCTTCTATTGTCCACAAACCCCTAGTCATGGCGCCAGCTCTCACCTCACCCCCCTGCTCAAATGACTGACGCCTTCCTATTGCAGTGCTCCTCCCTCTGAGTCCCCTTCTTTCGAGATGGACTATTGTCGCCAAAATGCGTGCAAGGAAGCACTTGGTTGAAACGAGCAACAGGAGGCTCGCATCTTCGAGCCCGCTTGGGAGACAGAAGCCGGAATGATCGAGGATAACAAACTCGTTTATCTAGTGGTTGAACGACATGATTCTTTAAGTCAACAACAAATGGTCATGGAATCCTTCGGCATGCAAACATCAAAGGGAATAACCACTACGTCGCAGCTGGCCCTAGCTACATACCGCTACTGTAGTCCCTCTCCTCTTCGCATATCCCCTCTTCGGCTATCCACCTTAACCATCGTATCAACCTACAGTCAAAGAGTTCAGGTCAGGCACTTCCCACCTCCAGCAGTCCCTCTAAGAGCAGTGGAATCATCAGCGATCCTGCACCTAGCTGCACGAAAGACAGCGTAGACCAGAGATAACACAAAGGGGTAGCAGGTATGGTGAGGGTAGGACAACGGTGAAGACAACCATTTGAATCACCTTCATGTCCACCACTGGTTGGTTTTCATAGTAGCTAGGGAATATAGCAATCCCCAAGTCTCTACCTGCTATTGCTACTGCGCATGCATCCTCACCTTCAAGGACGTTTTGTCTTGTCCCCGTAGAGCTTTCTTCACATTTCCAGGTTGGCCTTTTGTCGGATACCGCTGGTGAGAAGGAGAGATGGGAGATGCGTCTTTTGAACTGCCAGCACATCACCTACGAAAAGTTTGGAGGCTCGGCCTACCGGACCACAATGGCTGGCGGCGCCAGCCGAAAAGAAAAGAAGTGCGCCGCTGGCGGTTCGGAAAAAAGCTTGGCGCGCAGTAAGAGGCAACTGCAGGCCCGGATGTACGTGGCTAAGCACTTGGTGGTTTAAGTCACTACTACTACTACACTGTTTAGTTGGCGTGCACTAAGCGACTGCGCCTCTGTTTAGTTGCGCACAGTAAGGCATAACTTTCACGGCACGCCTCTACATATTGACTGACATGTGCTGCGTGTTATGAATTCCAGATTTGTCTCCATAATTTTTTGGAGCGAAAAACCGTTCACAACTGCAGTTACATCGAGAACTGGGATACTACTAGTGGAGAAATTTGGCACTCCTTTTCTCTTTATGATTTATCCCTTCCTTTGTGCAGGCATATCTTCCTTTGCCGTCTAACAGCCACTCCGCATCTCCTTAATGACAGGTGTGCAGGCCCAGATGACCCCATGTGTTATTTGTGACATCTATCGATCACGCTGACCATTTCAGCAGAATAAGGACGATTCAATTACGGAGCCTGATGCTGCTACTTCTTTCTTTTTTTCCCTCCCTAAAAGGGCAACGGCCTTGAGATATCATCGTGAAACTGACTGCCCAGCAGCATTTTTCGTTTTCCAAATTTCGATGTACTTTTTGTAATTAACACTCAGTGGGGTACCACCCATGAACTGTGTTGAAATACAGACCCGAGTTCGAATCCAGATGATGATGAAACTCAAATGAGCAAAACCAAATATTTCCGAATTCTCTGGGGCCGATCAGCTCTAGGATGATATCTCAAGGATGTCGCCCTTAAAAAAAAAAAAAAAAAAAAATCTCAAACAGTCGTCTGACCATGAAACAGGACAGATCAGTCCTGCAGATGTGCAGCTACGCCTGCTGTTGACATCTACACTTTTGAGACATAAGGACCTCTACATATCTCGTCTTACAGCTGTTCACTCTGCGTTTGTTCCATACACACCCGTGCTATACATATAACTAGACAGGATGCACACCATTGTCTAAAGATCGACACAGACCATCCCAGGGCAGAATTTTATGGCGTATTGGCAGTATCTTGCTTGTGAACGACGGTCAGAGATGACTCGCCTCATAAGATCAGGACAAAAAGGAAAACATGAGAAAGAGAAAAGGGACCCCAACACGCTCATACCAAGAGAACTGTCTCTCTGTGGTGAGGCACACAACCCTATATATCGTCAGAACGTTAAAATGGATACGGTGAGGGCATGCAGATGCATAATACATCGGCTTCTGGAAGAAACACCAACCGACCAATCCGATTTGTTGAATAATGATATGCACACACACACACCACACCCACACACCCACACCCCACCCAAACACACACACACACGCAACACACACACACACAGAGCATCAATGCACCAACCGACCTGTTAAGGGTGACTTCTTCCAGGACTGATGCAGCCCAGTGGAGCAGCAACGATCCACTGTAAGAAATGGACCCCTCAACACCATTCCCATCGGCTGCAACACCGCCTTCATCATACCTGTTCAATGTCACAGCAGCTACATCTCAGTGGCAGCCACTGTCTGCCTGCTTTGGCCGCCACACACACCTTTACCGTCCCTTATCCTTCAATTTTCCACTTTCTATCATCTCCCTTATCCAGATCGCATCTCATCTGTCATCCATGTCATATGACACTGTCATATCGTGAGTTCTGCCAGCTTTTGGGATAAGGGAGGCAGCAAAAGTGATCACGGTTTAGTTCACCTTGAGGTGTGCCTGAGACCATTGCATCGCTTCCCATCCACAAATTCGGATCACAGTCTGACAGAAAATCAAAAGCATGAGCTGTTAAGGACCTGTCGCGTTCAAGAAAGCTTTAAATGACTTCCTCACTGTCGACATCGTGTTCTATCACACCACTGTCATTGAAACTCCGACACCAAGGAGCAGAAACTGAGACACAGAGAGAGACAGACAGACAGACAGACAGACACAGACAGAGAGACAGAGGAGAGACAGAGACACAGACAGAGAGACAGAGAAACAGAAAGAGAGAGAAGGGAGAGAAAGGGAGACAGCCACAGAGAGAAAGAGAGAGAGAGAGAAAGAGAGAGAGAGAGAGAGAAAGAGAGACAGAGAAAGAGAGACAGAGACAGAGAGACAGAGACAGAGAGAGAGAGGGAGAAAGAGAGACAGAGACAGAGAGAGAGAGAGAGAGAGAGAGAGAGAGAGAGAGGAATCACAGTATAGTAAGGAGAGACTGCAATATTAGTTGTTTGGAAAAGGAAAACAGAGCTTGTAGTCGTAGACACAGACACACAGAGAGAGAGAGAGAGAGTATAATATTAGTAGTGGGTTTGGAAAAGGAAAACAGAGCTTGTAGTCCCAGGCACGAGAGACAGAGAGTGAGAGAGAGAGAGGAACTGCAGCACCGTCATGGAGGGAGACTGCAATGTTAGTAGTTGTGGGTTTGGAAAAGGGAAAAAGAGCTTGTAGTCTAAGTGGAGTGACCTACATTGTGACTGTTCATCGAGCATTCAGTTTAGTTTTAAACTTCGTTCGTTTGATTGGGTCTCCTTCTCTTTGAATGCACCCTGCACAACGAAGGCCACTACTGCCCCCCTTCCCCATCCCTCAGTTTAGGTTTAGGGTTGTACCGTTGTACTTGTCAAAATGGTCGTCTCTATCTTTACCTCCTCCCCGCTGACCTATCTACCTCTCCTCATTATCTAGGTTAGTCACGTTCTCCTATGTCCATAAGACCTTGTACCTCCTCCTTGCTATGCATTTATTACTCATCCCTATCAATATGTAAACACACTTGGTGTTGTTGATGGTTGTTGATGTGTTATTAAGAGTACCTATTGATGGAAAAGGTGCTCAAGGCACTCTACAGCGAAGACATGTAGAACTCAAGCTCCTGCAATTATTTCACCTACCCCACTCCTGCATCCGGGTGGGTTAGAGCCCTCTACTATCTGTTTACATCTCCTAGACTCCTTAACTGCTCGTACCAAATAACTCGATGCTCTCTACGTCCCTCTTTTATCTACACCGTATGCTTAACATCTTTATAAACATCTTTATTAACATCTTTATTAACATTCAGTCAAATCATTTTGATAGGAATGAATGATAAATATTCTCTTGTAAGTATAA